ATGATTAAGTACCCAAAGGCTTATTGGAATTATTAAAGAAAGGACGGTGTCAACGAGAAACGTTATGATTAAGTACCCAAAGGCTTATTGGAATTATCAAAGAAAGGCTTAAGAGATTTCTCAAATAGAATAGAGGGAAGAAGGTGATTACAGATAGAATGGTTGAAGGACATATAGAACGATCTTAATACAACTGAAATCGACTTACAATGACAATAACTGGTCCAATCCGTTAAATGTTCCATCAATTATTTTCACCAGGTAGTTGTGTGACAAGTCACTATCAGGAAAATAACCGAATTATTGTTGGAAAATATCCAAGTTATTGACAAGTCACTATCAGGAGTATAACTAAGTTACTGACAATTTAATATCAAAACATAACCAAATTATTGACAAGTTATCATCGGAAAATAACCACGTTATTGACAAGTTATTATCGGGGTGTAATCAATTTATAGTCGGAATATAAACAAGTTACTGACAATTTAATATCAAAACATAACCACGTTATTGACAAGTTATCATCGGAATATAACCATGTTATTGACAAGTTATCATCGGAATATAACCACGTTATTGACAAGTTATCATCGGAATATAATCACGTTATTGACAAGTTATTATCGGGATGTAAACAATTTATAGTCGGAATATAATGAAGTTACTGACAATTTAATATCAAATCATAACGAAGTTATTGACAATTTAATATCAAAACATAACCACGTTATTGACAAGTTATCATCGGAATATAACCACGTTATTGACAAGTTATCATCGGAATATAATCACTTTATTGACAAGTTATCATGGGAATATAACCACGTTATTGACAAGTTATCATCGGAATATAATCACGTTATTGACAAGTTATTATCGGGATGTAAACAATTTATAGTCGGAATATAACCAAGTTACTGACAATTTAATATCAAATCATAACCAAGATACTGACAATTTAATATCAAATCATAACCAAGTTATTGACAATTTAATATCAAATCATAACCTGTTACTGACAAGTTATCACCGGAATATAACCAGGTTATTGACAAGTTATTATCGGAATATAAACAATTTACTGACAATTTAATATCAA